TTGTGCAGTGGTTAGTGCTAGTCGTGTCCGCAAATCGCACGCAGTTGACGAAAGTAAAGTTTATTAAGTTAATTTTAGGGAACGTTGTGGAGTGAAAGAAGATGTAGTGTCGAGATTGAGAAAGGTATGTTGAGATGGTTTGGACATAGAGAGAGGATGAACAAAAGGAGATAAATGAAACAAGTATACAAGACGAGTGTGGATGGGAGAGTTGGAAGGGGTCAACCTCAGCAAATGTACCTCAATCAGATTGAGGACGTTTTTAGCAAAGGCCAGCTTAGGAGTACCCTAATTAAGTTAGTAACAATGTACCTACCTATATAGTTTAAGTTTAAAAAATTCGACTCTCCAAAGAAATTTCAATCGTTGTACTGTTGATATTTGGCTCTGTTGACTAATGAGTTTGCCGACCACTGACATAGGCCATCCCATGGGGACCATGGACCCAGCTGTGCCTGAGGATGCGACTTTTTGTTCTTCCACTTCTGATTAGTAGGGGAACACCAATCAGAGGTGCTCTCATCATTTCTCCGGGAACATTGAATCAGTCAGCTATTCCTCCATGGCGTTCTTTCTTGAATGGAATTGTCTGCTCTGTGAGTGCAGTTCTGGGAAGGACGATGAACCCGTCCATGATGAACTGTCTCAGAAACTGAGGACAGATGCCTGTGTGTGGCTGCTGGTCTGAATGCCTCACTGAATGAACCTACACTGGCAGGGCCAGGCTTCGGACTGCATGACTCACGGTGACGCCATGCACGTGGACTAGGATGTGAATGTCACCTCCCAGAGCTGTGCAATGCAGGGTCCTCTATTCCAAGATCTGGGGCAGGCCCCCTTCAAGGCTGAGAGGGTACAGATGTGTGTGCACGTGGGTGAAGAGGGGAGAGGAGCAAGGGAATACAGCGGCACCACAGGCACCCTCGTGATGGAGCCTGAGTGGGCAATGGGAGGTGTTGGGCATCAAGGACTGGGTTCATGAAACTCCATGACCCGACACCTCCCTTTCCAGCCCACTAGGACTCCCTCTCAAATACTGTTGTCTGGATGGACTCAAGGGCATGAAATTTATCACAATGGTCTTAGTGCTTAACCTTGGCTGCTTGGAGGCTAGGTTCTTGTCTACTTCCTGGAGCTCCTAGTCCAGATTAAGATACAGTGCATTTATGAATCACCCATTCCTCACAACACACACAAATGCATCTCACTGCTGGTGGCCTATCATTAATCTTTTCCCTGAGTGTATTACTGGATAGTGTCAGTGAACATTGACTTCCTGACGAGTAGAAAATGCTTGACTTAAAACTTTGGTTTTTTTCCTGCATTATCGAGTGTTCACTGAAGTAGCCTAGGCAAATTAATCATCCTTGAGTCTTATTTATGGCCCAGTGACCCAAAACTGTTATTTCCAGGAAATAAAATGGAAAGAAGAGGTCTTCCTGCCCAAATATATATACCTTTGCTTCCTATCAATTTAAAGATTCTTTGAAAAATGTAAATACCCACCAGGAAACTGAGCCCCATGAATTACTCTGGAATGCCCCATCAGGCCAAGTGGGGGAGCGAAAAAAATCAAAGCCTGTGGCACAAACTAGAAGAAGCTCCAAAGTGGTTTTTCTGCCACTTGCTGTAGGATCTTAGACAAATTGCTAAAGTCTCCATTTTCTCAAACAGGTTTAACGATAGTGCCCACCTTAGGGCTGTTTCCAAAATTAATTAGATAAATCAGAGGTAAAATAATTAGCACTGGCCTGGCACAAGGAAACTCTCAGGAGTATTAGCTATGGCGCTTTTGTTGCATCAGAGTATTTCTCATAAGGGATAAAAGATAAACGGACAATTTGGGGTGGTGGCCCACATGACTGTGTACAACCTGGGCTGTGCACTGACTCACCTGACATATCCCATCCCATTTCTGATTTTAAAAAGTGCAAGTTCAAAGGGACAGCCAATTGTTCAAATTAAGCCAGGAGTGGGGTCACTGTGGTTGGCATTTCTCAACGGCCTGAGAGGCATATCCCTGCTTTTCCATTCAAGTCCCGAGTTGATGGCAGTGACCCTGTCATGACTGGCCAGCCAGGATGGGTACGGAGAAGTCTGCCTTTGTAGCCACTCTTTTCTGCATGAGAAGACTCCAAAGCATGGCAGTCCTTACCACCAGCCTACCCTTGCACTCATAGGAGGGGAAGCAAATGAAAGGGGATACCATAATCCCTGTCTGAGACCTGGATCCAAGTAAACGGTTCTCATTGTCAGGTACTGAATGTCAAGAAAGCTTTCCCATGCCCTGGCTGGCTTGGCTCAGTGGATAGAGCATTGGCCTGCGGACTGAAGGGTCCCAGGTTCGATTCCAGCCAAGGGCACATGGCTGGGTTGCGGGCTTGATCTCCAGAAGGTGTGCAGGAGGACGCAGCCAATCAATGATTCTCTCTCATCATTGATGTTTCTATCTCTCTCTCTCTCCTTCTCCCTTCCTCTCTGAAATCAATAAAGAAAAAAAATATATATATTTTTTAAAGAAAGCTTTCCTTGAACTACGCTAGGAAAACAGTAGCTGGAGAGGTTGGAGATGAGTTCTTCCTACAGCCAAGACAGTAATGGTAGACTGTCTACTGGTAGCTCAACACCATTCCCTGTCTTATCTACTCTCCCCCAAACTGTGAGGGCTGGAAGCCTGCATGGGGACTGGGATATCCCAGCATTCCCTTGCCAGGGTTCCGTGTGAGAATCAGAGATACCTGCACAGGATTTGGAATGTGGCGAACAGGTGGACACCACTGTCTGGCTCCTCAGCTGAGGGGAGCAGATGTGTGGCTTTGGCAGATGGAGGCAGCGGAGAGGTCTGCACTGTCCCTGGTGAACCAGCAGCCCTGGCTCAGCCAGCGTGAGCTGGCTCGCTTCCTCTGGCTGCTGTGACTTCCTGCCCTGAGACCTGGAAGTGAGCCCGGGAGCCAGCAGCCATGGCTTCCCCGGACTTTTGCTCCTCCAGCCCCTTTAAATTGTGCAGTCAGTATAGAATATCCTCGATTAAACCCCTTCTGCTTAAAAGACCTAGCAAGGTATTTCTATTTTCCCAGCCAGCAGAAAATGCTTGGCTTAGAACTTTGACTTTTTCCTGAATTGCTGGATGTTCACTGAAGCAGTCCAGGCACATTAATGATCCTCGAGTCTTATTTCTGGCTGTTCTTGAGTTCCAGAGAGAACACATCTCAAAATATATACAATACCTGTGCTTCCTATCAATTTAAAACAGTTTTTAAAGATAGAAGTACCCACTAGGAAACTATGCCCCATGAATTGCTTTGATTTGATAATCACCTCATGTAACCCATAACTAATACCATCTAGGGAAAAAAAAGCTGAATTTCATTTTATGCATAAAGAGCGCTATAGATGCATTCACAGTTGTGAAATGAAAGGAAAAGCACAGCCATATTTTAAGCATCTTGACAAATCGGTTTTTCTCATTGCCTGCTGGCCTTATCCACTGCAGATGTAATTTTCCATGGTGCGAACTATTGTGAACACACATTTTTATAGTTTTCTCTTTGCACTTCATAGCACATTAATGAAATCCACATCTTGCTATAGAGACATCCTGACTGTCATATTTAGTTACTTCATAGTATGTACTTGATTCACTTGCTCCTAGCTTCCTAGCCTTTCACCCGGGGCTGGATCCTGAGGCAGGTCCTAAACATTGTTACTGTGAGTAATGCCTCCTCGAGCATCCCGTAGCTCTGCCCATCGGTCTCCTCGGGAGAAGGGCCCCGAGGAGAGAAGTGCTGGCCAGGAAGTCTAACTGCCACCCCCGGAAGGAGTTCCCCACTCATCGCACCGAACCCCTCGGTTTCCGCTCCGAGGGGTCGGAAGGGAAAGGGAGACGCCATCAGCCATCCTGGGGTTCTGCCGAGTGGAGCTGACACGGGCAGGGGAGACGCTGGCCCCCAACAGCTGTGTGAGGAGAGCCAGCCGAGAGAGCGGGAGAGGATCCCACGATCAGGAAAGACCCCGGGTAACCCGTCTCCGAGTCCGTCAGGGCAGGTTGGCGGGGGCGACACGGAGCCCGCCTTGAAACCTGCTGCACTCGCGTGTTTCTTACCGGGTGGCGGGCCCGACCGCCGAGGCACTCAGGCCTCAGGCTACTTCTTCCAGCGGCGCCGTGCAGCTGCAGATGGAGACAGCGAGTGAGTGTGGCGCCCCCCGCCCCTTCTTCCACGTTGTACCTTCTGCCGTCTCAGTTACCTGTGCTCAGCCGCAGTTCAAAAAGATTACATGGAAAATTCCAGAAACAGTGAGCTTGAAGTTGCGCACTGTTCTGAGGAGCAGGAGGAAATCTCGCGAGTCCTGCTCCGTGGGGCCGACGATGGGAACATCTCATTGTCCGGCGTAGCCACGCGAGACCCGTCCGCTCTGGTCGCCTAGAAGCCGACTGGGATGTCAGGTTGACTGTGTCCTGTACCGCAGTGTTTGTGTTCAGATAACTTATTTTATTTAATCATGGCCTCAAAGCATGAGAATAGTGATGCTTGCCATTCGGATAGGCCCGTGGTCAGCAAACTGCGGCTCACGAGCCACATGCGGCTCTTTGGCCCCTTGAGTGTGGCTCTTCCTAAGCCTTAGGAGTACCCTAATTAAGTTAGTAACAATGTACCTACCTATTTAGTTTAAGTTTAAAAAATTTGGCTCTCAAAAGAAATTTCAATCGTTGTACTGTTGATATTTGGCTCTGTTGACTAATGAGTTTGCCGACCACTGGGATAGGCCAGAGAGAGGCCTAAAGAGCTTGTTCTGTATCATCAGTCGCCTAAGGCTACGTCTCCATGCCTCTGTCATTCATTCAACTCCTTCGTCACATCCCATAGGCATTGTGTCATCTCACATCATCGAAAGGAGGGCGATGCAGCACAATAAGATATTTTGAGAGAGGCGTTGATATGATTGGCCAAGGAAGAGTGGCTCTCTTTTCCTCCCTGGCTGCGTGAAGATCAACCTTCATCATGAATGACACGGTAACTATCTGGACCAGGAAGTTCATGACCAACAGACTACTTCAGCGGGAACAAATGGTCATTGATGTCCTTCACCCTGGGAAGGCAACAGTACCCAAGACAGAAACCCGGGAAAAACTAGCCAAAATGTATAAAACCACACCTGATGTCATCTTTGTGTTTGGATTCAGAACGCACTTTGGTGGTGGCAAGACCACTGGCTTTGGCATTATTTATGATTCCTTGGATTACGCAAAGAAAAACGAACCCAAACACAGACTTGCAAGACATGGCCTATTTAAAGAAAACAGAAAGGAATGCAAGAACAGAATGAAGAAAGTCAACTCAGCCATGCTTGGTTGTTACTCTCTAACAACTTTTGCATGTACCATACAGCAGTGTAAGCTATAGTCTCTTCATGAGAGGATTAATAAACTATAAACTTAAAAAAAAAGATATTTTGAGAGAGTGAGAAACCACAGTCACATAACTTTTTATTATGGTATATTGTTATACTTGTTTATCATTACTTATTGTTGGTGTTCTCTTACTGTACCAAATTTACTTTATCATAGGTATGTGTGTATAGGAAAAACATAGTATATAGAGGTTCAGTACTATCCATGGATTCAGACATCCACTGGGGGTCGTAGAATGCATCCCCTGTGAATAAGGAGTGACCACTGTATCACGTCGGGGCGTTTTTATGGGTCAGATGTGTTAAGTGGTCTCCATCACTTCTGCTTATATTCCATTGTCCAGAGCCCAAGTCACAAGTCGCCACTTAACTGCAAGGGAAGCATAGTTCAGGCGCAGGCTCGGGAGGCAGAGGGGACTCTGGATGCTGGTGTGCACTAGCAAATCCCTCCCAGAGTCTTTTCCCCAGTTTAGCCAATCAAGCCTGAGAACAGGGAGGGCTGGGCAGGGGGAGATGTGGAACGCTGCTGCTTGCACACACTGTGCATGCAAAGTAATGCACATAGAATGTGCCTTTCCAGGTTCAGGCAGTTTTAAGCACTAGCTGCAGAGTCACACAGTTCCTGAGACCTCCTCTCCCCCAGTCACCACAGGAAGAGGGACAAAAGGAGTCACTTTTTACTTTTTCCTGGATTCCAGGGGCGGTGGAGACTAGTAATATTGCTTACTAGCCCCTCCCCTTTATAGCCTGGTTCCTTCCATTCTTAAGCTTCAGATCTTTTCTTCTTCTTTTTATTTATTTATTTACTAGAGGCCCGGTGCACAAAAATTTGTGCACTCGGGGGGGGGGGGGCCCCCCGCCCGGCCTGTGCCCTCTTGCAGTCTGGGACCCCTCAGGAGATAACGACCTGCTGGCTTAGGCCTGCTCCTGGGTGGCAGAGGGCAGGCCC